GTACCGAGAACACGCGACGAAGTTGTGCCGTTGCTCGCGAGTACGGTTACAATACGTTAAAATAATATATGATAAAATAATGTATGTGATAAACATAATATAAAGTAATATATATTATAACACGAAATAATAAAAGTTTTATAAAGTTAAAAGTTATTCTGTATAGCTTTGTCCCATTGATAAGATAATGCGCCATTTCCGTTAAAGAATGCAGTATATGCATTTCGAACTTCGACTCCACTTTGAGATGTCCTTCCTCGACAAATTGGTAAAGAGCAAAACCCTTCGGAAATCGTAGAATGATCCCTGTCATTAGTAATATATCTATGTTGTAACTGCGTTTCTTCATTACTAATAATAAAATTGTACAACACTATTGTTGCTTGCACAATTTTCTTCGCATTAGCAACACTTGATGTTATTGGCTTTCTGTAGATTCTCCATCTTTCCGCTAATATCCCGAAAGCACTTTCTACTCTTACTACTCTTCTTGCTCGACTGAGTCTGTAGTTAAATACCTTTTTTGGTAGATTTAATCTGCCACTCCGAGGATATGGCCTCATCATAAAGTTTGTCAAAGGAAAGGCCTTATCTGCTAGCAGTACATAAGGGAGAGTTGGTCCATCAATCTCAACTGGCTTAAGATTTGGTAACTTTAATGAAGCACTTTCGAAATAATGTCCAATAAGACTATTCCGAAAAATTCCTCCGTCACTTTGTCTGCCTTCACCTCCGATATCGACAATATAGTCCAGTCGTCAGAGATCTGACATCTAAAAATGATCCGATCTGGCTGAAATTTTGTGTGAATGTACATTAGTAGTCTCCAAAAAAAAGATGCAAAAAAGTTTACCACTCGTACCCCCGGGCTTCTTCAGAAATTGCCCCCTAAAGGGGATAAAAAACGGAAAACATCGATTTCCCAGAAATCTGTGCATGGAAAAAAAAAATTTTAAACAAAAAATGTAGCTGACACGATTTTGAACAAAAAAGTTCCTTACCACTTTCTTTGTAAAGTGAACCATTCTCTCAGAAAAAACGACTCAAGTAACGAGTTATTTTGAGTGTCAGTTGCGCGCGAGAAATGAAATATTTGAAAAAATTTTTATCAAGTACGCGGTAAATATTCAATAACTTTTGTTCCCAGTGACCTACAGGGACAAATAAAAACGCATTTTAAAGGGGAAGAGTTCAGCTTTCTGATAGAACAATAATATTTTACCACAAATGAAGTAAGATTGTTCAAATCTGTTAATGAAATGAAGGTTTCGAGGTTATGGCCGTTTTTTTGCCATTTTCCATATATGAATAAAATTTATCAAATCTGATGACAAATATGTATGGAATCTTAATTCTTATAGTATAAACTGCAGTACCTATACTATAAATTTTCGATTTTGATGTTTTGGAAAAAATATGACGAGTTTGAAATATGCCTAAAAATGCAAAGGTTCTGACTCTCTGTTCGAGGGAGGGGGGGTTAAGGGGGGGGGGCTATAAATTTTTTAGGGGCGATCAGATGTTAAATCATCTAGTAACAAATAAGCTCCTTTTTATATTCGCCAGTTTTTACAGAAATCGCCCCACTTCTATTCCTTTTTCACCCTATGAAAGATTGCTCATTTCTGAGAAAACGGTTCACTTTATAAGCAAAGTGGTAAGGGACTTTTTTGTTCAAAATCGTGTCAGCTACATTTTTTGTTTGAAACTTTTTTTTTCCAATGCACAGATTTCTGGGAAATCGATGTTTTCCGTTTTTTACCCCCTTTAGGGGGCAATTTCTGACGAAGCCCGGGGGTACAAGTGGTAAACTTTTTTGCATCTTTTTTAGAGACTACTAGTGGACATTCATACCAAATTTCAGCCAGGTCGGATCATTTTTAGAGGTTCAGTGGTATTTTTGCCTCTGACGACTGGACTAATAATAAAGCGACATTTGGCATCGCTAATTGCTAGGAGATTGATACTGCGATTTCCTTTACAGTTAAAATATGTCGAACCGGAATTCGATGGAGCCTACAATAAAATATATTTTTGTGTGTAATATATTAATTATGTAAAATACATATGTTTGTAGGTAGTTTTAATTAATTATAATTAGTTTTTAATTTTAAACAATATCTTTATTTTAGACCGTATATGTGAAAAACACAATCAATACTAGAAATTTAAAATACCTATTACGGTCGAAGCAGGATTTTCGTTGCTTAAATAATTCAATCTTGAATTACTAATATATACTACATATGGGGCATTCCACGCCAAGTCGGACAGTTTCAAAAATTTTTTTTTTTGGTTTGCCTAATTTTTTGATATTTTTTAGTACCCATCAAAAAACCCTTTCGGGTAAATTTTGAGATTTTTAGAATCACAGGTTCAAAAGATATCGAATTTTCAAAAAAACCGGTCTTTTTTTGGTTTTTTGGTCATAATTTCTTCAAAAATGGTCCAAATTAAAAGTTTTTTTTTTGAAATTTTTGTTTTTT